CTGTCAGGTCACTTGTATTAAATAATGTTTCCATATACATGCATTAGAGAGAAAGAGGAAAGATAATATTCCCTCATTCTACCATATATGGTGCACTTTATAGGTACACAGAATTGAAAAAAAACAAACGTATAAAGCACTGCTTTCGAACGTATGAGAAACAAAACGCATTGGGGGGGGGGTGTACCATTTCATTCACAGATTTGCTTATCATTGCTTTAGTATTGTTAGATTTGTCTTGTGGTCAGTATGCTACCCAGCATATATTTAGTCCTCGTTCAGACGCGGTCCAAAAACGAGGACTTATGTTTTGACCTCCGTGTGTCCGTCCGTCCGTGCGTGCGTGTGTGTGTGTGTGTGTGTGTGTGCGTGCATCTGTGTGTGCGTTCGGACCTGTATCTTAGAAATGCCTTGACCAATCACAATCAAACTTCACACATACATCATACATGATATTATACATATGCACATCATTTTGTTTTACGATCTGATTCAAGATTGCCGAATGGCCGCCATTTTTGTGCTAAAAAATCCTAAAAATCAACCATTTCTCGGCTGTTTACAGATGGATTTTGTTCAAACTTGGTATATACATTAGACATTATGGGACCTTGATGCAAATAATTTTGTTTTTCAGATAAGAATCAAAATGGCCGACTGGCGGCCATTTTGTATTAATGAATGTGGTTCTTGTGCCATATCTCTGACTTGCTTTCACTGATTATGTTCAAATTTTAAATATTCATTATACATCATGTCATAGATAGACAGATATATTGGTTTGACGATCCTATTCAAAATGGCCAAATGGTGGCCTTTTTTGTGCTAAACAATCATCAAATATCAAGCATTTCTGGCATTTATGAATGGATTTCGTTCAAACTTGGTACATATCTTAGACATTACAGGTTCCTGATGCACATCTTTTATTTTTCAGATCAGATTCAAAATGGCTGTCTGGCGGCCATTTTGTTTTAATGATTGGGCTTCTAGAGCCATATCTCTTAAATGCTTTGACTTATTATATTTAAATTTTATATATTCATTATACATCATGTTATATATATACATGTATTCAAAATGGCTGATTTTGAATGCTGTTCCAGAGCAATTTCTCTCAATATGGACAAGTACTTGTTTGACGATCAGATACAAATGTCAATCATTTTAATGTTAAAAATATCATGTTCCTGACATGGTTATATTCCAGCTATATTACTATAAACAAAACTATATATCTTAAATTTGATTACTAATGGGGACTGTGCCATGCATGGCTTGTTTGCATATAACTTATCAGCAAATTACAATTACTGTAAAAACTTAACTAATTAATTAATTTAGTTTGCAGTTTCTATTAATTTGTGCACCCAATTCATTTTTATGTGCTCATTATTAGTTCCTGCTTGGACATAGTCCAAAAACAAGGACTTGTATTTTCATTCCTGTGTCCATCCCTGTATCTCAGACATGCCTGCACATGTGCACCTTAACCAAGCTTCCCCCGAAGACTCTGCTCTGGCCTAACCTTTGAGTATGAGGCCCCCTAACTCAATTAAATTAATCCCAGAGTGGAACTTACCGGTACTGTTCCAGTGCACCAACCATTATCAATGATAGGTACAGCCAAGCGTGCTTCGATTGACAACAAAGTGTCATGTCACTTGTTACAAAGTACACTGAATACATTTGTTTTACATGTATGTTTCTTAGATTATGAGAGACCCTGAGTCCGGTAACTCAAAGGGATATGCCTTTATTAATTTTGCAAGTTTTGATGCGTCTGACGCCGCCATTGAAGCCATGAATGGACAGTACTTGTGTAATCGACCAATCACAATCTCTTATGCTTTTAAAAAAGATTCCAAAGGAGAAAGACATGGCTCTGCTGCTGGTATGTATTAAATACGATATGGTTTTATTATGTTTATGTACTCAGTGATGGATTTAATGTTAAGATTAAAATGGGAATGCTATCTTTGATTATAGACCTTACAGTCTACTGGAGGGTCTAGGGTTTGATTAAACTGCTTTGTAGACAAGGTTACATAGGAATGGACACTGAGGGCGCTATACAACATATCCATATTGCTATTACCTTTTTGCATACTAGTTTGTATATGCATTGTCTATATGCTACAAACAACTTTCCAATTTGCATACTAACACGCCTCTCACTAAGCGTTCTAATCTTGCATGGATGATATGTAAATGTATTCATTTAGCAATGCGCCTATATTTAGGCCAAAATATTAATCTCAGCTGAACTAAGTAATGTTCCCTGTATAATGCAGGATCAGCTTTTAGAACAAACTTCACATTTTAGAATTTTTTTCATGATGTCACTCTCAATATGATTAAAATGAATAAATATTGGTGATATCAAATGGTATATGATTATCCCTACCCAATAATTCAGTCATAAAGCTGTCAAAATCAGTTCTCTAGAAACATTGAATGCAGTCTGCTCAGTAATGTCTTGATTTGTGATTGTTGAATTGATAATTATTTTTTTTTTTTGTCAGAGAGACTCCTGGCTGCACAGAATCCACTTTCACAAATGGATCGTCCTCATCAACTTTTTGCCGATGCACCACCATCGTCTCAACCAGACTCAGACTCTGTGCCGAGTACAACAACATCAATGCTGTCGCAACCCCCTCCTCCAGGTACTGGGCAATGTGAGATAGATGCCAAATAGTTGGCTAAAATCCACCATTTTTTTTTCTTAATGCTTTGTTGAATATCACCTATCTTTTCATCACCAGACGCACAAATTATTCTGTACTTTTTTCTTGTATTCTTCAACATTTCTGGAAATGAACCATTATTTTGGAGCCAACAGACAAAATTTAAGTCAACTCTCCATTTTTCTCAAAAAAATTTGCTATTTTGTGAAAAGGTTAATTGAGGCAAAAGTGTTAGTTTCATGTATCCTCAGTATACACCTACAATCCATACATTTTTTTGTGGTCATTAGCAATGAACTTTACACACTGACTCACAAAATGCAGCACAATTTCAGGCAAAATCAAAGATGGCCGCCATCAAAATATAACAAAGTGAATTGCATGCATGTCATATCACAAACAACAGTTTGAATAAGTTTGACAATTTATTGGCTTGAACACATTCAAAAAATCACATTAATTTAATCTGAGTGCATTTCACTCATCCAAAGGGACATATAAAAACTATCCCCAATTTCCCAGAACTATTTTTGAGGGTGATGAAATCCAAAATTTGATCTTCCATGTCATTCTGTCATTCTCTCTCTATATATATATATATATAGGTACAATATACTACATGTGGACCTCACTCATTTTTATTTTGTGATTATATCTTCAATATTTTTCAATGCTAACAGCGGAGCTATCTCAGCCGACAGGCTGCTTGTGTTCCTATATTTTACATTCAACTCATCAAAAATCAGTGAAAATATATTCCATACAAAACACCCAAGTCTTTTCAGCGAAAATTAATTATTTTACAGTAATTTATATGTAAATAAGGCACTACACAAAGGTGTGATATTGCTGCTTTGAACTGTATTGTAATTTTTTTATTTCTCCAAATAGGAATGCCTCATCGTCCAAGTGGACCACCAACCTCTATGCCACCAATGGGGATGCCCCCTCCACCTCCAGGTCATGGTGGTTTACCACCTCCTCCAGTACCCCCACCAGGTATGCCTCCTCCGGGTATGCCTCCACCACCCATGGGTCTTCCTCCTCTACCTCCGGCATTGATGCCGCCGGGCACCACCTCAGGATCAGACTTACAGACATCACAGGAACAAAGGATGATGTTTCCACCTCCAATGGGTAGGTACACTTTATTAGTGATAACGCCACATTTGGTCAGTCTTTGTGACGACAAACGTCGCGTGGGATTCCACAATCACAAAATTATTTTGGGGGATATTTCCATGCTTAATGATGATGGTCAATTTCAATGAAGTAAGAGTATTCAAATGTAATATTCCCCTGTCAAAGATCGGCCTTTCAAGTTCAAAATCAAATCGTTTCATCTTGCGACAGATGTTCGATGCAATAACATGTATTGATCGAAAGGTAATCCCGCCTTTGTACATGATTAGCCTTACAAAAACAGCGATAAAAACGGAAGTCTACAAGAAGTTACCAAGACTATCAAGGGTGCGGAGCTGACAAACCCAAAATACTAGGGTAGTAATAATTTGCCCATTGCGTCGAGACGGTCTATCCCGAGTTGCTGCACTGCGGTTAATTGCGTTTTTTACTACTCTATCGCCAGTGACACTAATTACCAAGAATTAAAAAAACAAGTGAAATTATGTCGCATTAGAAAGAAAACTGTAAATAAATCGAAGCAAAAATTATTCAACTGCAGACGAGACGGTCAAGGAAAAAACCCTGAGCTCTAGAAATACCTCTTTCATAGAGTGCCTCATTATCGAGGAATGCCACTGAAGCGACGTAATGCATGGTGTGACATCACAACCGATGCATGCTGGGTTACAATGGGAATTTTGATTGAGGTAACAAAGATGGCGGCGCAGAGTGCATGTTTTTCTGCGATGTTTAAAAACAACGATTCGTTGGCGATTTTGATATAATTTCTAAGATAATCGTCAATGAATCGTTTTAATTAACCAAACATCCTAAGTTTGTGTATTTTTAAACAAAAAAGTCAGGGACCGATGATCGCAACAGCAGCAGTGAATACCCGTTCAACGCAATGCCGTCAGCTGACAATGTTACGGTGATCGTAGCATTATGCATAGATCAATGAAAAATCGCTGATTTTAGTTTTGAAATGCTGTTGTAGAAAAAAAATGTCATTATTGATTTATTAATTTCTTCACATTTTGATAACCCGCAATCTTGCAGACTTTACATATTTAACAAAAAAATGTCTTTCCCCCCATATGAACTGACAGTAACATTAGCACTAAAACTGACTGTACTTGTTGTACACAAAATAATGATGAACCAGTTACCTCCATGGATAACATTATATTCACTGACTGGCTATAAGTATTTCCATTTCTTTCCTGTTCTATTTCAAAATTTATTTGACTTAATGCATGCATAAAATACAATGAATTTAAATGATATAATATACAAGATATGTATAAAACTATCTCTTCTTTATTGCAGTTATGTTTGTTGGGGAATTATTATGCAAATAAAATTATGCAAATAAAATTATGCAAATAAGATGTATTGTTATGTAAACTAGCTGTGATGCTTGGCTTGAAGTCTGGGGAGAACACTGGCCGATAACAATAATGTGAACAGTGCTACTTAAAAACAGTACACCACATTTGCTCTATTTGAAGTTCATACATGTATAAACCAAAAATGTTATTCATTGACTCCCATGTGCGAAGCACAAAATGGGAGTCTTTGCAGTTAGTGTGTCTGTATGTGTGTATGTGTGTATGTGTGTATGTGTGTGTGTATGTGTGTCCGACTGTTCCACTGCTATCTCAAGAATCATACATCGGTTTTTGATGAAACTTAGTGCATAGATGCTCTGGGCCAATGCGCAGATTTGATTAGGTTTTGGTAAAAATCCATGCTCGTTAATTACCTAATTTGCATGATAATTAGCTAATTTTTAGCTGTTCTATGACTGTTCCACTGATATCTAAAGAACCACTCATTGGATTTTGATGAAACTTGGTACATAGATGCTCTGAACATATGCGCAGATTTGATTAATTTTTGGTAAAAATCCGTGCATATTAATTACCTAATTTGCATGATAATTAGCTGTTTTTTAGTGGTTCCATGACTGTTCCACTGATATCTAAACAACCACTCATTGGATTTTGATGAAACTTGGTACATAGATGCTCTGAACTAATGCTAGGTTTTGATTAGTTTTTGGTAATAATCTGTGGATACTAATTACCTAATTTGCATAATGATTAGTCAATTTTCGGTTTTTCCACTGATATCTCAAGTACTAATCATCACATTTCAAATGAAACTTGGTACATAGATGTCATACGACACTGCACAGACCTGATAGTTTTTATGGTAATATCAGTACATATTAATTACCTAATTTGCATAATTAATTAATTTTCAGCATTTGATATAAGTAGTTAGCATTACATTTCAATGAAACTTGGTACTTACATACTCAAGGACTATGCAGAGATTGATTGTTTTCGA